GCACTCAGGACCCTCCCAGACTTCACCCTATGGATCTCTTTACCTGGTTATTAATCTGCATCCTTTATTATATCGTTTTATAAACTGGTAAAGGTAAGTAGGTGTTTCCCTGAGTTCTGTGAGTCTCTCTAGCAAATTAATTGCACTTGATCTTAGCCAAAAGGCCAAGAAGCGATCTAGCAAATTAACTGAACCCAAGGAGAGGGTTGTGGGAATCCCTGGTTCGCAGTCAAGTCAGGCAAAAATCCAGCTAGGGACCTGCTACTTACATTTGGCATCTGATGTTAGGGAGGGGCAGCATCTTGCAATTTAGCCCTTAACCTTATCTCCAGGTAGATGGTATCAGAATTGAGCTAAACTCAGCTGGTGGTTGCTGAGAATTGCCTGTTGTGGGGGGCAGAAAACCCCACACACTTGGTGAACACAAGTGAAGTGGTCTGTGTATGTTGTAAAGAAGACATACAGATGGAAAACTGAATTTTTCCTGGTGGTTCAGTGGTTCAGAATTCACCTTGCAATGCAGGGGATGCAGGTTCATTACCGGTCAGGGAACTAAGATCCCACATGCTGAGAACCAAGTAAGCCCAAGCTCACAACTAGAAAGTCCATGCGCCATAATGAAAGAAAGTGTAAAAAAGATCATGCGTGCCACCACTAAGACTCAACACAGCCAAATAATTAGTATAAAAACTGATAATATTATTGTTATATTATTGTTGTAACTGATAAATTATTATAAAAACTAATATTTTCCCTAAATATTAGTATTTTTCTTATTTTCCACCATAATCACATATTTTACATAGCAGGCCAGTTGGAACACATAGAAATAGATATAAAACAGACATAGGGTGCCCCATCTCCTGCAGACATGCATGAGTCTGGCCTGGAATATTAGTGAGGGGGAGGAAAGGTGAGATGCGTAATCAGCACTGAATTGATAGATGAAGTCATGAGGACAAATGACTTCCTTCCCCTTGGCTTGTGAGGTCCTGATGTCTAAGACTTGGAGACCAACACCCAGTCAGGAAATTAATTATCCTGCCATCATCTATCCTCAATCCCATGTCCCAGAGGGCTCCAGAGGAAGAGAGATTCCAGGAGAAAAGGCCCAAACACTTGAGAGTTCAAAGTGTAGGTCTCAATGCCAACCCACAAGAGCACACAGAGCTAGAAATTTCTCACCTTTTGGGAAAAAAAAAAAAGATCTTCTTTAGCCTCAGCCTGGATAAGGATTTTCCTTGGAGAAAGAGGGGCGAAAGAATATTTAGGTCTCCAACTTTGAGTTTCAAGGCCATGGTGCTTAGAACTGGGACAGGGAAGATAGGAAACGATTTCTCTTTGCGAAGCTAGAGTCCTAAATCGAAGCATGGAAAAGAGGCCAAGGGCCCTAGGCAAACATCTGCTGTTGGGTCAGAGCCTGAACAAACTCAGGCCCGTGCTCCACAACGCTTGGCTCTGAGGAACGAGGGAGCCCAGGGGATTAGCAGAGGCCCCACAAAAACCAGCAACACACATCGAAGCGCTGATTAGAGAGAGTATTACCCTCCTCAGTCAAATTAAGTCGCTTTAAGCCACCTCATGTCAAAGCATCTTTCCAGAGGACATCGTGGAACATTTCATAATGTAAAGTTTTTTAAAACAGAGATGTAAATAAGCTAATCAATTTTTGGTTTTAGGTACTTAGTTTTTTGTTTTGTTTTTTTTAAAAAGGCCCAATACACCATTTGGTTGAAATACCATGTCCCGATTGGGCTTTTTTCTACCCAGGGAGGGTAGGGAGGCTTTTTTCTACCCCGGGAGGACAGAGGCAGTTATTCAGGAGGCAGTGAGCACTCTTCCAAGCTTTTCCCATGTTGAGATGATGCTCCCAGTTTACAAGGTGCTGCTGATGACGGCTGCATGTCTGGGCAGCTCTCAGCACCCAGCTCAAAGAAACAGGCCATCATGGCAAAGGTCCCAGAGAGTGGGACTCAATCTTCTCTGTACAACACATTCAGGGAGCACAGAGGAGTGGCTTACACATGACATAACGCAGGCAATAAACAGGCTGCTGAAGTCAGGGGCAGCTTCTCAGCACGCCCTTTCTCAGGCCTGGGCCTCTACCGTTCCCCAGTCCCCATTCTCCATCTCTAATTGAAAAGGTTGCCAGGATATAAACTATCTTTCCCTTGACTATTTCTCTTCCCATAGAACCTCCTTAGCCCCTGTTCCTTTGGGCAGTGGTACAACTAAACTTGGGGAAATGTACACCAGAGGTACTTTTTGGTCCCAGGAATCTCTTGAAGCGCTAGTTCTTTTTTTTTTTTTTTTAAATTCAGTCATGCTGTGTGGCTTGTGGGATCTTAATTCCCCAACCAGGGATTGAACCCAGGCCCATGGCAGTGGAAACACAGAGTCCTAAGCACCAAACAGCCAGGGAACTCCCGTTAGAGCTCTAGTTCTATCCCCAGAACGTTTCCAGGCCATTTCATTACCTCCAAGCCCAACCTCTGCTTGTCTCACCAAGTCCCTGAGGCTCAGTCCAGAGGTTCTCTTTCCTGTATGGCGGGCTCACTCATTCCATCTTCTTCCTCACTGCATCTTCTTCCAGCTCTGCAAGTCTTCTTGGCTCCTTAGGCAACCGCACCCTGCTTCCACCCTCTTAACATTCTGAAAACAATCACAGTCTAGATACACCCATGCCAGGCAAGACTGCCAGAGAAAGACGAGAACTCGGGCTACTCAAAGACAAACCCAGGTCTGGAACGGAAGGAGGTTTCCAGCGCATTCTGAAGCCTGAGTGTGAATTAGCTGAGACGCAGAAAGGGGAAGAAAAGTCACAAGAGAAGAATATTACACTTTTCTGATTGAAGGCGAAAGGGGACGAGAGAGGAATTGGGGCCAGAGATGAAAGGGGTTTCTAGTTCCTTTGGCCCAGGGAAGATTCCTGTAAATTTAGCTATGTCCTCGTTGGGCCCTGCAGTCAACTACATTCTTTTGGCAGGAAGAAAAAGATGATCATTGGATTAATTGAATGCAATACCTAGAGATGCCAAAACCTAAAGCCTCAAACAGCTGCAGTCAGCTTTTCGTTTCTGCGAAGGATGTGGTGTTAGTCACCTCCCTCCAGTGCTGATCGGTAAATCTCTGTTTTAAGATTGGTAAAACTCTAAGTAATCACAGGACCTCTGTCTGCAAATAAATCTCTAAGTTTTGAGATTGGTAAATCTCTGAAAAATCACAAGACCTCTGTCTGTGAGCAGCCTTTTTCCAACCGGCCAAGCTTAGGGATCCCACAAGGCCACCACCCCAGACGGGTCACAGCAAAAGTTAGGAGCTACCTCCTACAACAAGGACTCAGACCATGGAGCTGAGCTGCTTAACAGAGACACTCTAACTCCTCTGAATGCCTCAAAGTCCCCAAATCATAGTACTGGGGATGTCTCCACACCTTCCAGATATGGACAGCAGGGTGCCCACCTGCAAGAAGCACTAGAATTATGTTCTTTCATCCTCCCCGAAAAGTGACAAGAAACGACACCAGGAGCTCAAAGAGACACATTAACATAATTTATTAAACTCACCATACAAAGAGTATGCCATGGGAAAGAGTATCAGAACTGGAAGGACCCATGGAAATTATCTGGTGCAACCCCCTCATTGTGCAAATGGGAATGGTGTGAAGAACACTAGAACATCACAATGAACAAAGCTAGTATAGGAGAGGAGCTCAGCCCCAATGCACAGAAACCACAGACTTAAGGCTTCTGGTTTTGAGCCAAGTAGAACCTAAAGAGACTTAATGTTTATTTTTCATTTTTCTGTGTCCTAGAACACCACATTCTGATGCTTACCTCCTTCTTAAGGCTGCAGGAAGAGCCCTCAAGAAAACACAGACGAGTGGCAGGTTCATTCAGAGCCAGGATAACAAACTGATGGTGGAGCACCAGGGCACAGCAGGGTTGAGAGGAATTCAATCCCTCCGGATGGCTGTCTTCCCCCAGACAACAGACATTCAGACCCTGATGCCTCAGGGTAAATATACTTGCCTTCTGGAGGTTTGGAGGAGGAAGGGAAAGGCAGCAGGTAGAGGAAAGAGACAAAAAGACTTATAACATCATTCTGAAATCAATGAGTCCATTGGAAATGCTCTTTTCCCTCTGTCAAGTAAATCCAAACACCGCAAGAGAAGACTGCAGAACTCTGGGATTCAATCAGTTGTGAGATGGAAGGAAAAACACCAATAACTTAGCAAAATAAATACCATAAGAGTTTCTTTGCTGAGACTGATGTAACCTAGTGAAACAGTTTTTAGGCTCTGAGTCGAGAAGAATGAGGTGTATCTTGCACCTCCACTTAGGGGGAAACCCTAAGAGGTTCTGGGAGCCTTCACAGCAGAGAGAAGTTGCCCATAACTGTCCATGGCCTCACAGAACCTTTCTGCTCACAGCTACACCTTGAAGGACATTTCCCCTCCCCCAAAGACAAGACCACCTGGTCAAAGTTGAGGTTCACTGACTCTGACCAGGCCATGACAGGCAGCCCCATAGTCTGCCTGCAGGAGGCCCTGCTCAGCATGGGCTAAGGGTGGAGCAAGTAGAAAAACAAACAGTTTGTTGCTAAGAACTGAGCTTTGTTTACGGAAGGAACTCTGTTCCCCCAGGACTCCAGCTTCTAGGGCAGATCTCATCAGCTCTCCCGACCTGACCCATGGAGGGCCTGCTTCTGGGGCAGCTGAACTCCAGGCTACAACAGAAGGGAGGCTCTGCTACAGAGAGAAATAGTAACTATGGGAACAAGGCTACTGCCCTGGCTCCTGCAGGCAGGGTACCAGCCTCCAGAGGCCACAGTGTCCAGAGGGGCGTTAGTCCTCCTTCCGCCCAGTGTACAGAACCATGAAGCCCGAGCCTGAGCACAGCCAAGGAGCAGGTGGGAAGTCAAAGTCAGGGCCGGCAGCCTCCAGGGGTGGTAGGTTCCTCCGTAGGCCAGAGGCGGCAGCAACGTCCATCTCCTTGGGCTCATGTTTCCACCACTCGGATGAGAGGCATGGGCTTTGGGCTGGGGGGCTTGGATATCCTGATACTGAAAAGAAAGTCAGAAACGCTGAGTGCCCTATCATGGCCCAGCCTTCCCAGGGCCACCCCTCTGGCTTGCCTCCAGGTCACGCCCTGCAGGGCCCACTGATCTCTTGGTTCTAATGTCCTGAAACCATCACTGTCAGTGCTAAGGGGCCAGGGGACTGGTGTTTTTATCTCATGACAAGGGTGCGGAACACAGAGGGTGCAGCTGAACACCTACGGAGTGGGACGACTGTGATTCCTGATTTTTCTTCCAAAGTTTTAGACTTTTCTGTGAATCTCTCAGAAACAAAAAGCCCTCTCCCTAGATATATGCCCTTGCTGTATATGTGTGTGCTCAATCACATCCAACTCTGCGACCCCATGGACTGTCCCCCGCCAGGCTCCTTTGTCCATGGAATTTTCCAGGCAAGAATACTGGAGTGGGTTGCCATTTCCTAATCCAGGGGATCTTCCTAACCCAGGGATCGAACCTGCGTCTCTTTGCACCTCCTGCACTAACAGGCGGGTTCTCTATCACTGTGCCACCTGAGAAGCTCCATATGTCCTTGTTACACAGTCACAATTTTTACATCCAATTTCGGGGGTTCATATGCCTCTAGTGTTGTTCACGGGCCTCCCTGGGGTTGTGCTATCAGGCTCTACTCTAACCTGGTTAGAAAGTGGTTCAGGTGGAGAATGGATCAGATGAGAGACAGAGAGAATGAAACTGGACCTTGAAGAGCCTTGTCCTGACCTTGGTACTAAAGGTTTCTTTTCTGTGGCTCTGCCCCTCCTTCCTTCACTTCCTACCTGGGCCTGGCTCCATGTGGACTCACTCACCTGCCCAGGTTCTCGGTCTTGGCCCGGTTCTGGGTGCTGAAGTTGCCATGACTGATTTGTTTTTCTATCAGGTGTTCCATCCGGTCGTGCATCTCTAAATTCTGTAACACAAGTTTATGAGATTAGAATTGGTCTCTTCTGGTTTGCCATGGGTCACATTTAACCAGCTCATCCTGGTCTGCACTTCGAGGTGCTGCTGCCACCCCCACCCTCACTGTGCATGCCACCACCAGGAAGCCCTCATCTTCACCACTCCAGGTTGCACTCTCCTTCCGGTACTTGCTCCAGCCTCCTTCCCTGAGGACGTGTTCTCTTGATAACTGTTAAACACTGATCATCTCCTGTACTTCCCTTCTATACATTTCCTGCATATAATCTCCTAGAGTCTGTTGAGAAATTTACTTGCATTTGCTGATGTGCTTTTCTATAAAGTACTCTTAGGTATATTTTTAATGGATTTTATCTCTAAATCTAGACTGCAGACTCCCTGGAGATAAACAACTCTGTCTCCTATTTCTTTTGATCTCCCCCTCTATCTGAGACACCCTCACACAATGGCTGCAAAGTAATCTCAGGGAGTCAGTCAATGGACAGGAAGGCCTCTGAAGTACGGTGGACATCAGACCAAGAAGAACTCCTTAGCCAATCGAGCCCATCACCTTAGCCATGGAGAAGACTCCATCTATAGGATGTGTTCTCCTTCAAGGCTCAGCTCACTGTCAGCTACTCTGCTAAGCCCACAGAATCAGAATGAAGGGCCGGCCTTTGTGCTGCTGTGGCACAGGGGTGGCACCACAAGGATTATCCCTTCGGAGTGGGGACAGGTCTTACCATTGCCCGCAATCCCCGAAGAGTCTCAGAAAACGTTCACTCAGCAGAAAAGCTGGAGATCAACCAACCACCTCAGATACTCACTTCTGAGCAGCAGCAAGACACAACCAAGACCCCTCCAGAATCTCCCCCTCCCCATGTCCAGTTTCTTCTTCAAGAGTCTACTCCCTTCCCAGGGCTGCCCGGAACACACACCTCGGCTTCCAGGTAGGCAATCTTCTCCTTGAGCTCCTGGATGGTGCTATCCTTGGACTGGATCACAGCTTTTGAGTTCTGGAGCTGCAAAGATGCGGGAGACACGAGGGCTCGCTCTGAAATGACTCATGACACGCTCATCCAACTTTGCCCGGCTGCCTGGGGAGCCAGCGGAGACAAAGGGCAGAGTGCTGCACCTCTCACGTGACTTCCTTAGCTTTTCAGTAAACATTAAACTCTTGATTATCCCAGATTTGCATGAGGGGGGTGAGGGGGAACACCACCCTCATAATCCAAAATAATGGATAGCTCAAAAACCACTTCATTTGCCTTTGGGAAATACAAATGATGTACTGGTTCAAGAAAGGAATATTGAATGCCAGACTATATGACAGTCCCTATTTTAGACAATGGGAAACAGCAGTGAATAAGATGGAAGAAATCCTAGCGCACATGGAGCTGACATGCCACAACTCTGCCCTCCCAACTAGGGGGTCTGAAAGTCTCAAAACAATTCCACAAAACAGCACATTCTGACCGCCTAAAGCTCAGGCAAGGAAAAGCAGACAATACATCATGAGGTGCAAAGGTTGAAAATCTACACACAGATAAGTGAGTTTATTGGGACTGAATTACTTATTTACCAGCACTTTTTAACATGCAAAGAAGACTAACCTTTTCCTTCTTTTCCTATGGAAAACCACAAGACAAATGACCAAAAAAGTAGGGGAAAGATGGAAGAAAAGCAAATCCCAATCACCCTAATTTAATAGGCAGACTTAAGTGTTTTATGGGACACTCAAGAATATAAGACAAGATACCCAGGAGAATATATAAATAAAGGTGTAGGCTTGACAGGAAAACAGGGCTAGACACAATGCAGAGACTCCCAGAGTGGGACCCCCAGAGCAGGGGTTACCCACATACCTGCTCTATCATTTGCCGAACTTTCCGTTGCTGGCTCTTAAGCATGTCATCCAAGTGGTGGATCTTCTCCCGCAACCCAGCCACTTCCTTTTCCAGGTTAGTAGCCCTGGGAATTAAGACCAAAAGGCTGAGGTAAGAGGAAAAGATGCTTTCTCCACCTGGTCACAGTAAGGACCTTGAGCTCAGGGGGTTCTGATCAGGTGTGTTTCCTTCCACCCCAGGTCTGCTGCAAGGAGGAGGTGGTGGGAACACACATCAGAAGCATCACTAGAGATCATCCAGTCCAAACAAGAGAACTGAGGCTCAGAAAGGTTAGAAAGGATAAATCATTCTGGATAGTTCCATCAGTAAAACTAGTGCCAATAGATAGATGTACCAAGGTAGCAGTTCTTATGTTATTTAATAACATAAGAAAGACATTCTCAGTGTTAAAGCTGTGAGAAAGTGGACTGCCTCACATCTAATGAGCTCCTTATTCCTGGAAAGATTCATGTACGAGCTGGGATTATGATACCCAAGATCATCAAGCTGTTAGCAGGGATTTTATACCAAGAGGGAGATAAGATTTGAGGACCCTTAATGCCTCTTCACATTGGAGAAGGAAATGGCAACCCACTCCAGTGTTCTTGCCTGGAGGATCCCAGGGACAGAGGAGCCTGGTGGGCCGCCATCTATGGGCTCACACAGAGTCGGACACGACTGAAGTGACTTAGCAGCAGCAGCAGCAGCAGCAACACCTCTTCACACGAGTCTGGTTTTCTTTTGTTTTTTGGCTGAGCCGGGCAGTACATGGGATCTCAGTCCCCTGACCAGGGGGACTAAGTGCAGAGCACTGGGAGCAAGAAGTCATAACCACTGGACCACGAGGGAAGTCCCAGGTCTAAGTCTCTTGATTCCCAGACACTGCTGAGCAAACTGGATCAAGATCTCCAAAGGTCAGGCGGCTGGGGAGAGTACCCAGGAGTTCAGGGCATTTAAGAATTGCTGGCACCCATTATTCTCTGGGTCTGCCTGAGGAAGCAGACAAGAGCCCATTGCTAGAGGATGGGCAGCTCTAGGAGTGGGGGACAACGCAATCTGAGCCCAACTCACTTTTCCTAAGTTCAGACACTCTAAGTTCCTACCCTCAGCTCTCCAGTGTGCTGTTCCTGTCTCCTTTTATTTAGAAAATCAGTGTTTATGATGTGCAACTGTCACTTGCCATCCCCAAATCTCGGTCTTCTGGTCTTCTCTGTCTCTCCTGCTCCTTCTGCTCAGTCCTCTGTCTGTGAGCACCTCCACCACAGGAGTGGTGAGGGAGTGCTGAGTAATTTAAAGCAATTCTGCTAAGAAGTCTGAAAGAAGGTTACAATAAGATGTCTGTAGTTACCATGCCAGGCGGGCCTAGATCAAGGTTATCCCAAAGGAGAGAAGATAACCCTAGCAGACCAAGGGGTCCAAGGCGAGGATTGTGTCTGTTCATCTTGGAATCCCTTAGAAGGCCCTTCAGGTAATGTCTGTTGAACTTTGAAAGGTCCAGGTTTTTAATTATTCATTTGACTGTGACAACTCTCAGTTGTGGCACTCAGGATCTTCAATCTTCATTGCAGCATGCGGGATTTTTAGCTGTGGCATGTGAAATCTTAGTTGCAGAATGTGCGATCTAGTTCCCCGATCAGGGATCAAACCTGGGCCCTCTGCATTGGCAGCATGGAGTCTTAGCCACTAGACCACCAGGGAAGTCCCCCAATATCCTAATGTTAAATTTGATTTACCATCTGTGATCTTCCCAGGTGGCACAAGTGGTAAAGAACCCACCTGCCAATGCAGGAGATGTAAGAGATGTGGGTTCAAACCCTGCTTCAGGAAGATCCCCTGGAGGAGGACATGGCAACCCACTCCAGTATTCTTGCCTGGAGAATTCCATGGACATAGGAGCCTGGTGGGCTACAGTCCATGGGGTCACAAAGAGTCAGAAATGACTCAGCAACTAATACTTTGTTTAGGGGGGAGTAGGCTGTGGTGCAATCTAGTAACACATCCAGGGTAACAACCTCAGAATCTCAGAATGACGTGCTGCAACAGTAGATGCTTCACCAGCTCCCTTCTGCCCCTAACCCTACAACCACAGAAGCCTTTTCTTCGGGGTATTGGAAAATGAGCTCCTCAGACATGACAGCCTCCCCACAGTATCTCCCTGGGCAGGGCCCCACCCTGAGCAGGCACACAGTGAGTCAGAGCTGGAAGACCTGACATCAGCACCAGCTTCCTCCCAGGCCGGCACCCTCTCCTCCCCGCACCCCAACCTCACGGTGAGCCAGGGCCCTTACTTCTCTTGTTCTGCTCGGCAGTCAACGTTCTTACTCCGGAGTTCCTCCAGGGCTGTCTCCCCTTCCCTGACCTTCGCCAGTAAGGCCTGATACTCCTGGTGGGCCAAAGGAAAGAAAATCTACAATGAGGAGACGGTGATGGTGTCTGTGTTCAGGGTAAGATGGGCATGAAGGGCTGGGACTCAGCCCCTGCGGGGCCTGGGACAGCTGCCAAGGAGCAGCAGGTCAAGCTGGTTTGATGGGGCGCTCTCCCCTGTCAGGGATAACCCTTCCCACCCTCAGCACATAGAAACTTCTCAGCCTCGCCCAGCTGCCCGAAGGGAGAATCTGGCCCTGCATCAGCTGGGCCCACCTGCCAGCTCTGGCTACCAATCCCCGGGAAACTAGGCTGAGTGGCTCCTGAAGAACTGTCTTCAAAGGCCAAACGGCAGCTCTACCAGACCCATCTAAAATGGAAATGGGTTCAAGTCGAGTTACCAAGGGCTAAGTTAGATAAAGAAAGACCTTCCCTGGGACTTCCCAGGTGGTCCAGTGACTAAGACTCTGTGCTCCCAATGTAGAGGACCCAGGTTCGATACCTGATTGGGGAACTAGATCCCGCATGCCACAGCTAAAGATCCCACACACTGCAACTAAGTAAGACCCAGCACAGCCAAATACATAAATAAAAGATTTATTAAAAAAAAAAACCCTTCCCATTCCTTAAGGGCTAAACGCTACTGCAAACAAAGCTGTGAAATGTGCTTTTCTGGAACCGCTCAGAAAAGGAAGGTCTCTGCAACCATCTCAGTTAGTCCGCCCACACCTTCCGGCCCAGGAGTCTGGGTGCTGAAGAGCAAGACCCCAGCAGTTACCGTCTCCATTCCCAGCAAGCGCCTCTGCAGCTCCCCGACTTCTGCCTCCTTCTGCTCCGCTCTGTCCTCCGCTCTCTGAAGGGCCACCTGACTCTGTTTGGCTTCTCTCTGGTACTCGCTGAGTGTGACCTGGGACACAGGATGGGGATTGTGTGAACTGTGTGTAAGGACAAACATGGATAAAAAGGAAAAAACCCAGGAATGCGGGTGCAGGGATGGGAGGAGGAGGCAACCCTGATGGGAACATGCTGTATCCCCCTCACTGTTCCAGGGCCACTCAGGAGATCAGCAGATTAACTCCACTCCCAAGGATAATTGTCACATAATCAGAGTGACACCTGGAACCCACAAGCTCTGCTTTCCAGTTGGCTGACATCTTCAGCATCCCCACCAGCCCTCCAGGGTCACCCAAGCTTAAACCAGTGGTATGGCTTTCTTCCTAATACAAAGAATCCAATGGAGGAATCTCGGTCCTCCTTCTGTCTCCACTCTTCCTCAACCTCACTTCCAGCAATCATGGAAAGACCAAAACAGCACCAGCGTTACTAGCACCAGGAAGAATTTTCCAATGTGGAAAGGACAAAAGTGGAATTTAGAGTGAAAAAGTAAACTAAGAACTTGCCCCCTTTCCTCCTGTGTGCATTTTGCCAACTCCTGATCATCTTTCAGGTCTCGGCTTGTACACCCCTTCTTCCAGGGAGCTGGAGCTCGGATGAGGTGTGTGTCCTCTGTGTGTCTACAGAGGACACACAATCTTTCCCTCTTATGCACGGAGCAGATTTTGCCTGGTGACTTGCGCGCACCCCCAGGAGACCATCAGCTTCATGACGGCAGAGACCCTGAGCACCATTACCTTTCCAGAGCTTAGCACAGCGCTGAGAAGCAGCCAATGCTCTGCAACATCATGAATGGACCGGATGATCATCTAGTCCAACCCTCTCCTTTCACAACGAAAGGTCAAATGACCTATTCAAGATTACACAGCCAGTAAATGATAGTAAACTCAGCTGTTTCATCATCGATTTCAATGCTCCCCAGGTACCCCACTCTGACTCCCCAATCAGAGACTAAAAAAGAATCCGAGTAACCTCTGGAAAGCCTAACCAGGCCTGGTAAAATGAACCAGCAACCAGTTTGTCTGGCTCCTCCTGAAGTCAGAATCAAGGAGAAGAAAGCAAAGCAAAGGATGATGTGTGATGGGACTTGTCCACATTGTACAGAGCCCCATCCAGAGTAAATCCTTCCTGACAGCCAGGAGCCAGTAGAACGGGAAACCCACGCTTAATGACAGGTTGTCTTCATGGTAATAAACAATCTTGCCCTTCTTGCCCCCCAGCTTCAGAAAAACAGACCAGAGAGTCTAATCCACCCGAAGAGACTGAGAAAAGCCTTCCAGTGTCCCATATCAGCCTGAAACAGGCCAGCCCCTTGGGCAGAAGTGTAAAAAGAAGGCCTCTCATTTCTGTACATAGACATCGCACCCAGGTTGCTGTGTGCCCAGAGCACAGCACTAACGAGCCACAGATGATCCTCACACGCAGCTGTAAAATCACAAAGGGAAAAAGCCACACTCTGCCACATCGGTCCCACAGTTCCAGCCAGCCCTGCCCTAAGGGAACCCCTTAACCATGAGAGGGTGTGGGGACCTACCCCAGTAGTGGGAGCAACCCAAGGAGCATCTCCTATTGTGGATCTGTGCTACTGTCTTGGGGTTAAAGGGCAGCCCCTTGTAAGAAGCCATGAGTGTGTGGTTAACAGCAGTCAGAGGCCTTACAGCCTTGGGCTTTTACTGAGGATACTTTTGCTCAAGTTTTGAAGCCCAGGGTTAGCAGAGCTCCCCCATTTGTCGCCAAAACCAACTAGTACTTCATAGTGTTTCTCAATGTAGAAATTTCTTTCCAACATTCACAGTCTGGTCAGTGCTACAGCCTCAACCTCACCTTCCTCCTGTTCTATTCTAGGAAAGTAAGAAAGGGTCACTGAACTGATTCATTATCGACTGAATTATCCAAATTGTGGAATCTGAAATAGACTCAATAAACTCCTTTACCACACAGCAACTCTGTTCTGAGACCAAATTAATCTTAGTATTACCCTGTTGTTGTTGTTATTTAGTCACTAAGTCATGTTCAACTCTTGTGACCCCATGGACTATAGCCCTCAGCTCCTCTGTGCACGGGATTTCCTAGACAGGAATACTGGAGTGAGTTGCCATTTCCATTTCCAGGGGATCTTTCCAACCCAGGGGCTGAACCCCCTTCTCTTAGACTGGCAGATGGATTCTTTATCTCCAAGCCACTGGGGGCCCTAGGCCTAATTTATTTAGGACAGGAAAACCCACCTGTTAAACTGATGACTAAGAAAAATGTAGAATATTTATTATTTCTAAAACTCTTTCAAGTAATAAATATACTTACAAATATTACCTCACTCAATCAATGCACCAAACTTGCAAGGTATATTTCATGACCCTTTTTAAAAAAATATGTCCTTATAAATATATTTGAATATCTTCATAATCTCATTTTCCGCATTTACTCTTTAATCCAGTTGGATTCTATTTTTGTAAACAGTGACGTATTAAGGATCCATGTAGTTTATTTTTAATACTAGTTAATTAATTCCATCTTCATTTATTGAATATTCTCATCTATCTCTATTGGTTTAAAAGGACACCTCCATCATATACTATATTCCTAAATAATCACGACTCATGACCCCTTTTTACGAAAGCTGAAACTAATGGTTAGGGAGGTTAAATTACCCAGATAAGACTTTAACTGCTCTTGAGGCAGTTAATCACTCTCACTACCTTTGGTCCACACCCTCAATACATCTCTCAAAAATTCTCTCTCTTTAGTCCATGAAAGAGAAGAGTTCAGGCTGGGAGTTCTCCTTCCATCAGCCCCAGGCAAGCCTGGGCAGGGCAGAATCCTATCATTACTTATTTATGACTGAGTGAACAACCGCAGACACCAGAGGGTTCTCACACAGAGCAGTAGCAGAACTGCTCTGTGTCCATCTTGTGTACCTCATCCTCTACCCCGAGAATTCTCTGGAAAGCATGGAACACCTCACACACTTTTAATAGTTTGGGAAGGGGCTTTATATATATAGACTCGGTATTTTTAAAATCTTCTATAATAACCTTTTATAACAACAATTGAGATACTCAAGATTACAGAGCTCTGGGTGGGGAGAAGGATAAATTGGGAATTTGGGATTAACAGATACACACTAACTATTTATAAAACAGATAAACAACAAGGGCCTACTATATAGCACAGGAACATTCAATATCTTATAATAACCTATAATAGAAAAGAAGCTGAAAAAGAATATGTGTGTGTGTGTGTAACTGAATCACTTGGCTGTACACTTAAAACACTGTTGGGGAACTTCCCCGGTGACTCAGACGGTACAATCATCTGCTTGCAATGCTGGAGACCCAGGTTCAATCCCTGGGTCGGGAAGATCCCCTGGAGAAGGAAATGGCAACGCACTCCAGTACTCTTGCCTGGAATTCCATGGATGGAGGAACCTCATAGGCTACTATCAATGGGGTCACAAAGAGTCAGACACGACTGAGTGACTTTGCTTTCACTTAAAACACTGTTAATAAATTATACTTCAATCAAAAAAAAAAAAAATCACAGAGCTCTGTGTAGTAAATCCAAGACTTGATCTAAAGTGTCCTGATTCCACAGGCACATTTCTTCTTAAGACCACACCAATCCATCCACTCATCCCATCCACACTCAAGAGGCACCCACCCGATACCTAGAATTGTCTCAGACACTGGGGACGCAGCGGTGAACTTTGCAGCAACAATCTTTGCCTGCATGGCACATACAGCCCAGCAGTTCTTACCACGGACTGACAAAAAGGACTTCTGAATTACCTGTTCTCCTAAATCAGCGCCACTTCTCCACTCCCGTAGAGCAGAGACTCAAAAGCTGACCTTCAAACTATGGGCTAGCCTTGGACAGCAAAAACTATAAATATCCAAGAAAGGGCAAAGCTGACAGGAAGTGCCCCAGGCCACCAAACCTAGCCTTTCCAGTTGATTGATGGCATCCCAGCCAGGAAGAAATTCATCTGCACCTGTATCCAGTGGCCCTGCCCTTAGGGCACTTTCTCCTCAAATCCCAAGTCTCACCTTAAAAGCCGAACAGTCTGACTGGTGCTGCCGCTCAGCTTCCTGCAGCTTGACAAGCAAGTCCTCAACCATCTTCCTCAAGCTCTCGACATCTTCTTTTATATAGGTGTCCACCTATAGCCAGAAGAGGGACGAGAAGGTGAAGCCACTCTGTGACTTGGTAAGACAAGGTTGCCCCATAATAAACACTTGTTAGACCGACTGGCCCAGACCGCTCTCATGAAGGAATTTACATCGCATAAGGGAGTAAAGTTAGTCAGTCCTAGGCACCCAGGTGTTCTAAGTTATTCATATGAAAACACACTCGCACCCTAAAGAACTCAACTAGCTTCCAATCACCTCATTATTTTAGGACACACTACAGCAGTTTTTCTGTACTTGTCAACGGACTGATGACCAGGTATGGTTATGCCATCTTCACACGCATGTCCTGCTTTTCCACGACTAGAGTCCTCCGAAAGCAGGGACCATGATCCTCTTTAGACTTCAGTCCCCAAGGGCAAGGGCTGTGCCATGCTGGTCAAGAGGGGCACAGCCCAGAGGCACGTCTTTTGTGGTTCTCTGCGCAGAGCACAGAGATCGGCAGATAAAGGGTTACTGACAGATGGGCAGCTTAGGGCAAAAGACCTGGTGAATCCAGGAATCAGATGCGATGTAGGAAAAGCTGTCTCATCGAGGTTACTCTGAGTGTCTCCCGCAGACACACCTAAACTGGGGGCGGTTAGGGCTGAGTTGGCGTGTAGGGTCTCGCCATTTCTGCCACACTTCAGTTACCAGCTCCCTCGAGTCTGACAGAAGAGTCTCTCCCTGTCTTGCACAGTGGGAGGCAGCAGCACCTTCAAACCAGAGCGCAGGAGAAACAGTGTCCCAGGTGGTGTGTTATCACTGAGTACTGTGGACCCTGCTTCTCTAACTGGGAAACAGAGAAGACTCCTTACCACACCCTGCCTTCAAGGCTGCCTCAAAACTAAGTAAGATAATATCTTGGAGCTTGGAAGAAGAAAGGCTGAACAGATAGTGCCAGGTGTTATTATAACTTGTTGCTAACAGCATATTTGCCAAATATGGTGACTCAGGGGAAGGAAAAAAATCCAAACTGCACATCTAAAGTGAGTGGCTAGAATCACAACATTCCCAATCCAGCCATTAGGGACTTCCCTGGTAGTCCAATGGCTAAGACTCTGTGCTCCCAATGCAGGGGCCCAGGTTTAATCCCTGGTCGGGGAACTAGATCTCACATGGCACAAGTAAGAGTTTGCATGCTGCAAATAAAGATCAAGACCTGAGGCAGCCAAAAAAATTAATTAAAAAAAAATTTCCAAAAAAAAAAAAAATTCATCCAAATGTCATTCTTGGAAGACTCTTTGATGACATGGAAAAATTTCATGATACAGTATGAAGAGAATAAAAGGGAGTTATAAAATTTTACATGTAGGAGCTAAAGACAAGAAAACTGATTTTATTAACACAGCAATGTAAACAGAGCCCTAAAAACATGGTGTTGGATGAAAAAGGAAAAAACAAATAGAGCGCAAGTCTATTTTGAAAATTAAAAACATACTTAATAGGCATATTTAAATTATATATTAAATATGTTAGAGTGAGCACCTTTCAGTCAAGGAGACCAAAAAAGAAAAAAGCCGAAGCAGTGACAGGCCTTTTCGGGCCCAGTGATGATAACGAGCCCTGAACTGAGGGGAAGGTCTGAGTCAGCTCTGCACTTGAGGGCCAAACACACCCAACACAAAAAAATAACCGCCCAAGAAACAAGGACAAAGAACTGCTGCTGCTGCTGCTACTAAGTCGCGTCAGTCGTGTCCGACTCTGTGTGACCCCATAGACGGCAGCCCACCAGGCTCCCCCGTCCCTGGGATTCTCCAGGCAAGAACACTGGAGTGGGTTGCCATTTCCTTCTCCAATGCATGAAAGTGTAAAGTGAAAGGGAAGTCAGTCTAATCTCAATATCGTAAATATATATTTGCACTGAAGGGAAAACAAAGGAAAGTTCACCAAACTGATTTTTCTCTGAGTAGATTACAATTGATATCTTTTTCTTCTTTCAACTTTTCTATGTTTCCGAATTTCCCTAATTTTCAACAGTATGCATGTCTTGTATTATTACATAATCACAAAAAATATAACAACAAAAGTCATTTCTAAAAAAGTATAGCCATGTGTTTGTCAATTATACTTCAATAAAGCTGGGAGGGATTAAAAATACTATGTTGTTATTCAAAAGAATGAGGCAGATTTACATATTGTTGTTATTTAGTTGCTCAGTTGTATCCAGCTTTTTGCAACCCCATGGACTGTAGTCTGCCAGGCTCCACTGTCCATGGGATTTCCCAGGCAAGAGTACTGGAGTGGGTTGCCCTTTCCTTCTCCAGGGGATCTTCCCGACCCAAGGACTGAACCTGTGTCTCCTGCATCGCAGGCAGATTCTTTACCTCTGAGTCATCAGGGAAGCCCTAGATTTACATGTACTAACATGGAAAGAAGGCTGTACTCTTCAGTTTAAAAAAATAAAGAAATAAGAAGAAATAATATTTTATTTATCAGAACTCTGTATTTGTAAAAAACACATGCATATTATATACATATATTTATACATATATATATAACACATGTCTATATATTACTGTATACACATACACATACACACACACACACATATGGCTTTTAAATATGGATGTCTATGTACGGAAAAACACTCTAGAACTTTAGAATATGAGAACTAACAGAACAGGCTAAATATTAGAATCAAGTGAAGAGCTTGTAAAAGTCCTAATGCAGAACTTCCCTGGTGGTCCAATGGTTAAGATTCCCTGCTTCCACTGCAGGGGATAAAGTTTTGGTCCCTGGTCAGGAACTAAGATTCTGCATGCTGCATGGCATGCATAGTCAAAAAGAATTTTTTTTAAGTCCTGATGCATAGGCCACATCTCAGATCCATTAAATTACAGTCTCTAGTGACAGCACACAGGCATTGCATCCTTTAAAGCTCCCAAGGCCATCTTAATAAGGAACGGTGAGCACTGCTCTAAAAGGACCCACCCACGGGAACTCCCTGGCAGTCTAGTTAGGACTGCACTTTCAGTGAGGAGGGCAAGGTTTGATCCCTGGTCAGAGAACTAAGATCCCATAAGCCACGCAGTGCAGCCAGAAAAACAAATAAATAAGAGGACCTACCCACTTCTGTTAACCATGGATATTTACAAGGAGTGGAACTGGGGAAGCAGAATTTCCATTTTATATATTTCTCCTTTGTTTGCATTTTTACAGCCGGTAAACATTACTTTCATAGTTAGTGAGACAGAGAGAGCAAGCAATAAACAAAAAGATAAGGAAGGTATATTTCCTGCCTCTTGGCTAACCAGTAGTTGCCACTCCTTTCCCTGTTACCTACCTTGGGTGGGCTGCTATACGTGGTCAGGGGACCTTCACTAAGGCCATTTGGCTTTTCTAGCACCACCTGTTCAAAGAAAAATCAAATTGGTAGTGAAAATTGCTGTTGTTGTTTAGTCGCTCGGTTATGTCCAGCTCTTTGCGACCCTATGGACTGCAGACCAGCTTCTGTCCATGGAATTCTCCAGGCAAGAATACTGGAGTGGGTTGCCATGCCCTCCCTCCAGGGATATAGAGTAGTGTGTGTGTGTGTGTGTGTGTGTGTGTGTGTGTGTGTGTGTTAATCCCAAACTTCTAATTTATCCCTCCTCTCCTTTCTCCTTTTGTAACCTTAAGTTTGTTCTATATGTGTGTGGGTCTATTTCTGTTTTGTATATAAGTTTATTTGTATCACTTTTTTAAGATTCCATATGAACCATATAAAACATTATTTTTCTAAGAGTTCAAATCTTAGATCAAAAGGGAAAAGGAAGAGTGGGGGGAGAGGAAGAGGAAAAAGAAAAAGAAGGGAGGAAAGAAAAGAAGAAAAGACGCCTAGTGCCCTGCAGGAAAATGGAGAAAAGAGGGAGTGGAGAAACACGCACAGCCTTGAGAGAAAATACCTGAGCCTCATCAGGAGGAGGAAGGAAACCCCAGGCTAAAACCTTTCAGCAGACTGGAAAATGTGCCGGCCCATTCCCTGAAGCCCAGGAAACACAAGCAGCTGCCTGCCATAAACAAAGAGTTTCCCTTGCCCCTCGGGGATCCTGACAAGGTTTGACAAAACATAAATCAAAAGGGGAAGCTGCATTTGCTGCCATTCTTTCCAACCCAAAGCCTAATTAGTCATCATATGACTGCTGGTTTATAAAAACAAGGGCCCTGGACTTCTGGGCTCTGAGCACATTAGGCTCTTCAATCATAAGACAAAGCACCTCCCACCAGCTAGATGTAAGCTCAGGCAGTGAAAGTCTTTCCCTGAGCCAAAGCTAAATGAATTAGGGGGTGTCCACCACACGAGCCTGGCACATGCCCAAGGCGAAGGGTAATTGTGCCGGCTCTAGCTGCAAGGTCACTGTTCCCCTTAGGAGAAGGAAGGCAGGGGCTACTGGAGAAGGACCACCCCACCCAAACTGAAAGCAGATGAAGGAGACACAGCCCAGAATCTAAGGGAGGATGAGGATGAACTCATGGAAGAGACAGTTCTGCTCTCCTGGGGACATTTCTATCCTCAAATTTTTGAAGGACCAAAAAGCAGGATCCCAGGACCACCATGCTCAGAAGGATTCTCTAATCAGTTTGGTCCAACAAACACTTACTGATGACCCTGTACATCCCTGGCGGTTCAGCTGGCAAAGAACCCTCCTGCAAGGTGGGAGACCTGGGTTCGATCCGTGGGTTGGGAAGATCCCCTCGAGAAGGAAACAGCTACCCCCTCCAGTATTCTGGCCTGGAGAATTCCATGGACTGTATAGTCCATGGGGTTGCAAAGAGTCCAATACGACTGAGTGACTTTCACTTTGTGCATCCCAGACCCTGGGCTGGGGTGGGAGGGCACAGAGACGAGGGTGGGAGGATGAATTCTCACCTGGAGAAGCTTCCTGTGCTAGGGTAGAGATAGCTCTAGACACACACAGAAACAGACAAGGACCAAGACTTCCAATTTACACCACAAGCATCACCAAATTAAGCAAGATCAACTTGTGAGAAGTTTGGATTTTTAGGTGATTGTCTGCTTTATAAGACTTTGTATTACAAGAAGATTGGTCACAGAATCCCTACGGACAGGATGGCTTGCCATTAACTGAATGATAATTTTATTGATATAAATTCTATTTCTTTTGTACATGTTTTAGGGACAGGTGTGGTTGTATATAGGCTGACATGTGTGAATACAAGTGTCCACCTTCTGGAGAGTCCTAACAAGGTGTGAATGCTCAGAGAAGCAAGCATCACCCGTATTCTCAACTTTCCTGGCACTGGCATTAGATCTGGCAACCAATGGGTGACTGGTAAATGGCACAACTCCACCTCCTCAGTTTGGACCCAACTGTGGACCATTTCTTATTACCTGTATCTCCTTTTTATGGACAGAATCTCCTGGATCTCTGTCAAGCTTGCTACTTATATCCTCCCGGAGCTTCTGCAAGCAGTTCCTGGCCTGGGAGGAGAGGGCAAGAGGCTTTAGCTTCGGGAAAGAGAGTACACCAACTCACCCACCTCAGTGCCCTTTCCCAACCCATACTCCTATGAGTCAAGTACTCTTCTAAGTACTGGCTGGGAAAGGAGAGACTCTACTCAAGTGGGGCTATAGTCCAGTCTCTCCTACCGAAGCAACAAAATAATAAAAAATTCTGCCTTGGTGTATCTAACTTTCCAGCTGGGGAGACACACCACCTAATGGGATATGTTATGGCCACAAGTGCCAAGAAGAAATACAAGCCAGGTTAAGGCTTAAGAAAAGTGAGGAAGCAAGGCTGGCACTTTAGATAGGATGACTAGGGGACAGCGCTAGGTGTATGGTGCTTAATAAGTATTTGTTGATTAATGGAAGAGTCAGAAATGCTATTTACACATGAGGGGGCATGGTGGCACTTTGGAGATATAAAGGAAGCAGAAGGGAGAAAATCAGAACCTATGAAAGAAGGGAGCCAAAAAATGTGAGGTTTAGAGAAACGACTTTGGTCACTTCCACAAAGGGAAGGGGTGCCCACCTCCTGGATATATTGGACCTCACTCTTCAGCTGGTTAATATTCTTCTCATGGATCATCTTGTCTCCAGACCTCCCCTTCAAGTACACCTGAAATAAGGAAAACAACGCTAATTAAGAAATCTCCAGTGGAAGTAACCTAAATGTCCATTGACAGATGAACAGATACAGAAAATGTGGTACAGAGGCTTCGCTGGTGGCTCAGTGGTAAAGCATCTGCCTGCTAGTGCAGGAGACACGGGTTTAATTCCTGATCCAGGAAGATCCCACATGCCGTGGGGCAACTAAGCTCATGTGCCCAACTACTGAGCCTGTGCTCTAGAGCCCACGTGCCACAACTACTGAAGCCCTCACATCCTAGAGCCTGTGCTCCACGACAAGAGACGGCACCGCAATGAGAATCCCACGTACCACAACCAAAGAGGAGCCCCTGCCTGCCACAACTAGAGAAAAGCCCAAATAGCAACAAACACCTAGCACAGCCAAAACTAAATGAACACATAAAAACTGGGGGGAAAAAGAGGTGGTCGGTACACACACACACAGACTGAAATACGACTCAGTCATAAAAAAGAATGAAATAATGCCATTTGCAGCAACATGGATGAACCTAGACATTATCATACTAAGTGGAGTAAGCCAGAAAAATATCACATGAGATCCCTTACATGTGAAAATCAGAAAAGTAAAATGATACAAATGAATTTATACGCAAGATAGAAATTGACCTGCAGACAGAAAATAAACTTACGGTTAGCAAAGGAGAGGGGGGAAGGAGGGTGGGATTAACATATATATACACACTAGTATATATAAAACAGATAAACAACAAGGACCTACTGCATAGCACAGGGAGCTATACTCAGTATTTTGTAATAATCTATAAGGGAAAAGAATCTGAAAAGAGATATCTATAACTGAATCACTTTGCTGAAACTAACACATCATTGTAAATCAGCTATACTTCAATAAAAATTTTAGAAAAAGAAAAGAAACCTCCAGTTAAATTAACTCCACACAGGTAGCCTCATACACTGCCGTTCAGTTCAGTGGCTCAGTCGTGTCTGGCTCTTACACTGCTGGTGGGAGGGTAAATTGTCACCACCTTTCTGGGTGGTAATTTGGTGGTTCTGACAAGAAGACTTAAAACTGTATTTACTCTTTGACCTATCAAAGCTATTTCTGGAAATTTATCCTAATGAAATAAATTTAGCTAAAAACTAGTATAAATACTTACATACACACATGTAAATTCATGAAAAGGGGCTTGGAAAGGGGATTTACACATTTCTCTGTATACCATGCTTGAATTTTTTACAATTGAGAAAATATTTCTTTATTATTTATACTATAAAACATATACGCAAGTTAGTAATACATATACTTGACAAAATATTGTTTATGGCTGCAAAAAGTAGAAATAGACAAAATGTTCAACAATAGGGGATTAAAGAAATTATAGGGTATGTGTATAATAGAATACTATGAAGTCATTTATGGATATAGAAGATGTTATAAACTACAATTAAAGAGAGGCAAGCAAATTGTAGTATAAATATACAATTTTTAAAAAATACAAACATAGGAAAATGTCTGAGAGGATACACAATAAAATGTTAACAATGATTATATTAATAGAATTATGGGGTGGTAATGTAATGGCCATGTAAAGGCCATGTAATGACTTTGAATAAAAAAAATTAATTGAAAGTATACAGGTTGGATAGGGTAAAACTATTCATAGATAACAAGATCATGTATACATAATAACCTATGGAATTCAATAAAAAACTATTAGAACAAAAAATGAATTCAGCAAGGTTGTAGGATACAAGTACAATATATGAAAAATAGTTGTATTTCTATACACTATTACTAGCAATGAACAATCCAAAAGAAAAAAAATCTAGAAATAAATTTAACAAAGTTGAAAACCTGCATTCTGAAAATTATAGAACATAACAGAAACAAGAAATTACAGAACAAGAAATAAGAGAAGATCCTAAAAAGTGAACAAACATCCTATTTTCATGGATTAGAAAACTTAATATTGCTAAGATGGCAATACTCCCCAAATTGAACTACAAATTCAACACAATTCTTATCAAGATCCAAGCTGGTTTCTTTGCAGAAACTGACAAACTAATACTAAAATTCATATGGAAATGCAAAGGACCCTAAATAGCTAAAACAGTCTTGAAAAAGAACAAAATTACTACAAAGCTACAGAAGTCAAGACAACGTGGGGCTGATATAGGATAGACATGTAGATCAATGGTATATAAAGTATCCAGGAATAATAATTACATACTCTGATTTTTGACAAGTGTGCCAAGTAACAGTCTTTTCAACAACCAATGCTGGTAAAAATGGACATCATGTGCAAAAGAATGAAGTCACATCATACACAAAAATTAACCCAAATGGATCATAGACCTATGCATAAGAGTTAAAACTAAAACTCTCTGAAGAAAGTATAGGGATAAATCTTTGTGACCTTTGGTTAGGCAAAGTCTTCTTAGATACAATACTTAAAGCACAGTAACAAAAGAAAAATATATATAAATTGGATTTCAACAAACTAAAAATTTTTGTTTTAAAGGACATCATCAAGAAAGCAAAAAAAAAAAAAAGAAAGCAAAAAAAAAACCCACAGAATGGGGAAAAATTAAAAATTCTTTCCAAAACATTTATCTGATAAGCACTTACTATCCAAAATATATAAAAGTACCCTTATACTGTAACAATTGAAGCACAATTGTATTTTTAAAGAGCAAAGGATTTGAATAAATATTTTTCCAAAAAAAATATACAAACAGGCAATAAGCATATAAAAAGATGTCATTAGGGAAATGAAAATTAAAACCACTATAGGACACCACTTCACATCCACTAGGATGGCAATAATAAAAAAAATGGATAATAACAAGTGTTAATGAGGATATACAGAAATTGAAACCCACATATATAAGTGGTGGGAATACAAAATAAGAGCAGATGCTTTGGAAAAATGTCTGGTAGTTTCTCAAAAGATTAAATATAAATATAGAATTACCATATGACCTAGCAATTTCACTACTGCTAGGTATATACTAAGCGAATTGAAAACACATGTCCACTTAAAAACTTGTACATGAATATTCAAAGCAGCATTATTCATAAGAGAGTGGGAACAACCCAAATGCCCATCAGTTGATGAATGGGTAACAAAATATAATATATTCATTCAAGGGAATATGATTCAGCCATTAAAAGCAGTGAGTACTGATGTATGTTACAATATGGCTGATCCCTGAAACTACTTTGCTAAGTGAAAGAAGTCAGACACAAAAGGCCACATGTTGTGCTGTGATTCCGTTTATATAAAATGTCTAGAAAGGGCAAATCCATAGAGACAGAAGGTATTGATAGACTGGTGATTGCCAGGGGCTAGAAGGAGTGACTGAAAAAGTTCTGAAATTAGTAGTGGTGACGGCTGCACAACTCTGTGAATATATTAAAAACTACTGAATTGAACACTTTAACTGAGTTAATTGTATGGTATGTGAATTACATCTCAAAAAGCTGTTTTTAGAAAAGAACTTTTCGTTTTTTTTAATTGTTTTAATTGTCTTAATTAAACAAAAATTATTTTAATTAAAAAAAATAAGTTCCATAAACATACTTTCTACCTGTCTCCACAGCTTTCAGCAGCTGAAATGAATACAGACAGTAGATAAGCACCTTGAAAGGTCATCTCATCCACTCCCCTGCCAAGTGCCAGGTAGCACTAGAGCCACGATAGCCTGACTGTGGTCTCCTGGTGTCAATTATGATCTTTCCAGGAGACAGCCAAGAACCAGCATCACAGATCTGGTTCTTCCCAGTCAAACCACAAGGGCCCTTTGGCAAAGTCAGCCGTTTCCTCTCCTGTGTCTGTAGGGAGAAAGGAGGGAGAAATAGTGTAGGTGAATGAAGCCTACCTTAATGATCTCTTCGTGTCCATCATTGGACTCCACCAGTTCTGAGGCCAGAGAATGACTACTTGAGCGGCTGGACACCATGGCATAGGTCTTCCTGCCCGCCTGCCAGAGAGAGAGAAAGAAAAGTGGATCAGAAACCATACGACCAGCACTGAACTTCTGTCCCTCAACCAATGTAGAACTGCTCCTCAAAAGACTTGAAGGGTCAGTCCAATGTTTCCCTCCAAAAATTCATTTCAGAACCTCAACCCAAAGCCACAGGATGAATGCAGCAGCAGCAAGAACACAGGACGGGGAGGATTAGTTGATATTGCAGGTCAGTTTTCATTGTAATGGGGGCCTCTACATCCCCAAAGCAAGGCACGATGCTGAGGTCAGCTGGCTGTGTCTGAAAGGAGATGCTCCCAGGCAGCAGAGGAAACGGCTCCAGCCAGCACTGGGCCGAGGGGTCAGCAGCAAGGAAAGAGAACCGGCAGAGACGAGGAGGCCTCGCTCCACCAGCAACCGCGGTACCTTCTGGGCTAAGCGTTCAAGTTCATCTCCTGTCAGGTCACTCTGGAGAGTCAGCCTGAGCACGTCCACGCTGCCCTAATAATGACAATCACAGCAACAATAATCCCTCAGCTTTACAGTCTACTACCAGTACACATGCACCTCTGCCAGTGTAGAGTGGGCTTTATTATTGCCATTTCATAGACAAGAAAAGCTGAAGTCTGGAGAGGAACATCAGCTTGCCCAAGTTCACTCTTGGGTGATAAGGATGTCTCCGGGGACTCTGACAGTGTTCTTTACATAGCACATTGTATGTGCTCTCCTTTCCCCACTGTTTAGAAGGCATCCCCGGATTGGTCGCCCCCAGTTCAGAATTTCTGCACCTGACATCCAACCAGGAAGTTACCGATTCCCTTCACAAGACTAGGATATCTTTCCTGAACCAAATCATAGGAAGGTACCTGAATCCAAACCCTTATTTCTGTGAGCCACACAGAAATTACCCAGAAGAAAGCAGACAATACAATAGATCAACCTAATTTCAAAGGAAGCAGCAGGTATTCTTTTGTAACTTAAAGAAGGTTTAAAAACCTTCTTTTCATTGTGAGGAAAATAGAAAACCTGAGGGGGAAAACATGCAAGAAGAGGGAAAAGTGGGGGGCTGGAGATCTGGGGAGATAATAACATTGAGAGAGGATCAGCAAGGCAGAATGGACAAAACCCTGCCAGTAACCCGTCTAACATGTACAGGTAGACAAGAGGCTGAGCAACTCTGGATCTCTGGATCTCACTAGAAAAATCAGGGTTGAGCTAAGTCTCTCTAAGGCTCCCTCCATATTTGATATTATAACAGCATAAAAGAGGAGTACATGCCCCTCGCAGCTAATGATGGGAAGATGGGTACTGAACTAACCAAGACAAAAGTGACTTTGAGGTCATCTGGTCATACCCTGCCATGAGGTCCAGAAGTACAAATGCCATCTTACTCTTAACAGTTCTGAGGAACCCTCCTAACCTTCCAAATATCTGATGCAGTGACAGGAGGAAGAAAGAATGGAGAGAAGCTTTTCTGGGAGGCAACAGATCTTCCTACACAAGAAAAAACAAATGGGTGGAGAAGTAATCAGTCTCTGTAATCAGATACTCTGTGTTCTCCCTATAAAATGGAAATACTACCATCCAAATGAGGGCTTTTTTGTTTAGGATTAACTGAAAATATATGAAAAAAAAAAAGAAAAGAAAATATATGGAGGTTGTTCTCTGCCACATAAGAGTGTGTGCTCAGTCAGTCAGTCATGTCTGACTCTTTGAGACCCCATAGACTGTAGCCCGCTAGGCTCCTCCGTCCATGGGATTCTCCAGGCAACAGTACTGGAGTGGGTTGCTATTTCCTTCTCCAGGGATCTTACTAACCCAGGGATCGAGCCCGTCTCTTGTGTCTGCTGCACTGCAGGTGGACTCTACCAGCGGAGCCACTGGGAAAGTCACATAAGAGGAAAGTATTCAAATACTAGCCTCTTCCCACTTCTTGGAACAAGCTCAAATATAAGAAAGATTGAAGACAGTCCCACATGGCCCTTAAGACTTACCAAACCTGGCAATGTAGCTAGCTTTTACAAAAACAAAAACACTTAATTCCTCTCAAATAAAAGCCAGACCCTTAGTGTGGCATTTAAGGCTCTCCACAACCCGAGGCAACTCGCCTCCGCTGTCACTGGTCTTCATTGCCCCTGGCCCAATATGCCCCTTGCTTTCCTACTTTAGTAACTTCGCTCTCTTCATTTCCTTTGCCTAAATGTTCTTTCTTCTCATTTTCACCAGGGGCACCTGCGAGTCCCTCAAGTTTGCATTCAACTGCCACATCTTCCATGACACTTCCCTACATCCTGCGGGAAACACATACGCCCTTCTCTGCGTTCCCGCTGCTTCACAAGGCCTTTGGTGGCACGTGCCTCTCACTTATTTGTGAGCCATGTGATCTTCTGTTAACTCCTTGTGGGCAGCTGTCTGCCACAGCCCCTAACAAAGGTAAGCATTTTCTGAATGCATAGTGAGTGTTCCATGACATCTAGGTCAAGAGACCATTACAAAAGAAAGAAGAAATGACTTCAAAATAGCCAAGTGAAAGTGAAAGTCACTCAGTTGTGTCCAACTTTGTGACTGCAAGGAGTATGCAGTCCATGGAGTTCTCCAGGCCAGAATACTGGAGTGGGTAGCCATTCCCTTCTCCAGGGGATCTTCCCAATCCAGGGATAGAACCCAGGTGTCCTGCATTGCAGGTGGATTCTTTACCACCTGAATCACCAGGGAAGCCCAAAACAGCCAAAGTGGCTGCTAACTCTTTTCCCCAGTACACAGGCATGCGCTTTGATTAAAGCATAGTCTCGGGAGTTCCCTGATGCTCCAATGGTTAGGATTTGATGCTTTGACTGCCATGTCCCGGGTTCAGCCATGGCATTTTAACTGGAAGAGCACAGACGACTAGTCTGGATTTGGGCCTTGAGAGGTCATCTCCTCTATTCATGTCATCAGAATCTCAGTTGGAGACAAGAAAGAAAGTTGAAGAAGTACTCAACTTGCTGAAAGAAACAATGGCTGAAAGACAGAGAAAACAAACAACAAACAAAAATAAAATAGCAGGCTTACCATATCAATAATTACACTAAATGTACACAGTCTAAACACATCACTTAAATACAGATTGGCAGGAATTCCCTGCTGGTCCAATGGTTAGGACTCCATACTTTCCCCCAGCTTAGACCACTGATTGGGGAACTAAGATCCAGTAAGCTGTACAACCACAGCCAAAAAATAAAAAGCAGATTGGCAGAATAATTTTAAAAATGACTCATTACATGCTATCTATAAGAAACATATTCAATACTTTAAGAATAAAAATACAGACTGGTTGAAGTAAAAGAATGGGAACAGATATAACATGCAAATATTAATCAAAGGAAAGCAGGAATGCTATGTGAATACCAGATAAAGTAGACTTCAGAGCAAAGAGATTACCATAAATAGAAAAGGACATTATGTAATGTAAATCCACAAAGAAGACAGAGCAATCCCAAATGTATATTCACCAAACACCAAGCTGCAAAATATGTGAAACAAAAACTGATAGAACAAATCCACAAATCCACAATTATAGTTAGAGACTTCAATACCTATCTCTCAACAACTGATAGAACAACTGGGGTGGGGGAAATTAGCAAGAAAATATAAGAACTCAACCACACCATCAATCAACAAGATCTAATCAACATTTATAGAATACTTCACCCAACAGCAGCAGAATACATATTCTTTTCATGGATCTATGGAACATATACTAAAGCAGACCATAATCTGGACTATGAAAAATCTCAACAAATTTGAAAGAACTGAAATATACAGAGTACGTTATATGACCACAATGGATTCAAACTAGAAACAAATAACAGAAGCATAATGGGAAATTTTCCAAACACTAGGAAACTAAACAATATAGTTCTAAATAATCTTTGGGTCCCAAAAACACTCTCAAAGGAAATTTTTAAAAATCGCTGAACTGAATGAAAATGAAAAACCAAACATTAAACTTAGTGGGATATAGCTAAAGTAGTTCTTTAGAGAAGGAAAGAGAGAAATTCTCTAAACTCCCTCTAAAGAGAGGGAAATTCATAGCACTAAATGTATGTATTAGATGAAAAGAAAGTGTCAAATCAATAATTTAAGCTCCCACTACAAGAATCTAGAGAAAAAAAACAAACTAAAACTCAAAGCAAGCAGGGAAAAGGACTTAATAAAAACAAGAGCATGGGTAAATTATATTTAACACAGAACAACAATGGAGAAAAACCAATGAAACAAAGAGCTATTCTTTGAAAGGATCAATGAAATTCATAACTTCAAATAAGACTGACAAAGAATAAAAGAGAGAGACATAAATACCAACATCAGGAATGAAACACAATATTTCTACAGAACTTGGGGTATTAAAAGTATAAGGTAATACTATGAACAACTCTATGAGCATAAATTTGACAATTTAGAAAAATGAATCAATTCTTTTAAAAAACATGAACTATTGAAGTTCTTCATCTAACATGACATAGGTAATATGAAGAGCCTTATAACTATTCAGGAAATTAAAATCATAATTTAAAAATTCTCAGAGGAGTTCCCTGGCGACCTAGTCGCTAGGATTCCAGGCTTTCACTGCCATGGCCTGTGTTCAATCCCTGGTCGGGGAGCTGACATCCCACAAGCCACAGTTCACGGCCAAAAAAAAAAAAAATCTTCTAAGAAGAAATATCCAGGCCCAGATGACTCCACTGGAGAATTCTATGAAATATTTTAAAAATTAGCACCAATACTATTTCTACATAATCTCATCCAAAAAATAAGAGGAGGAACACTTTCAAATTCATTTTATAAAGCTATTCTTATTGTGACACCAGGGCCAAAGACAATTTTAAAAAGAAAACAAAAACAAAAAAAATTACAAACCAATCTCTCTCATAAATACAAATATTTTTATCCCCTAACATTTTGTTAGAACATGGGTAAAAGACATGCAAAGATATTTCACCAAAGAAAATATACGGGTGGCAAACAAGCATATAAAAAGATGCTCGACATCATCAGTCATTAGGGAAAGGCAAATTAAAACCACAGTGAGATATCATTACACACCTATCAGAATGGCTAAAACAAAGACTACAGTACCAAATGCTGGCAAGGACGCAGAGAAACGATCACTCACACGTTACTGGTGGGAATATAAAGTGACACAGCCACTCCGAAAAATAGTTTGGCATTTCTTTAAAAATTAAACATACAATCACCATATGACCCAGGAATTATGCTCCTGGGCATTTATCACAAAGAAATGTAGACTTACGTTCACACAAAAAAACTGCACACTTGAGGTAGGAGGTGAGAGGAAGGTTTAAGAGGGAGGGGACATATGTATACCAATGGCTGATTCATGTTGATGTGTGGCAGAAACCAACACAGTATTGTAAAGCAATTATCCTTCAATTAAAAATAAACAAGTATGTTTTTAAAAACTTGCACACTAATGCTTACAGCAGCTTTACTTGTAATAC